AGCCCACTGCCCTCTCCTCCGCAGCAGAGAGCCGCTGCGTTTGCTCAGTAATCCTCCTCTCAGCATCGGCAAGTGCGGCACTTAGCTTCTCAGCGCCCAACTTGGCCGATTCAGCGTCCTTGAGGAGCTGCTCTATTTGGGCAGCCTGCCCCACCAGGGTAGAATCCCTGGCAGCAACATCTTCCGTTGCCCGAGCAAGGGCAGCTTCCGCTTCCGCCTTCTGATCCTTGGCCCTCTGAAGGTCCATCCTGGACGCGTGGTACCGGCCAGCAATGATAGAAATCTGCTGGGTAGCCTGTAAAGGAAGGAAAGAGTGTTAAAACACAAAAATAGAAAACGAGAGTGAAGGGATCAAAACGGGAATAAACTCACCACCAGGGAGTTCTGGATCATGGAGCGGAACAACACGTTGGTTGATCGCCCCCGATGAGCCTCCATGTCAGCCTCAAAATGCAATGTCTCACTCACTGCATGGGCGACATGGGGATCCTGCAGAATGGAATCGTCGACCCTGATCACTCGGTTCATGTGATCAGTGGCCCGAGGATTCCACACCGCGGCCTCCACTGTGGATGGGAGGGAAGGAGTAGTCTGCTGCTGTTGTTGCTGTTGCTGCTGCTGCTGCTGTTGCTGTTGTCGGGGCTGTTGTTGTTGTTGCTGTTGTGGGGGAGCAGGCGGTAATCCACGATCCCTCCCGCTTTGATGTTGAGCGGGAGGTGCCCTGGGTCCCCGGCTGAGGCCGTCATGCCGATGCTTGACCCTTCTCTCCTCTTCCACCTGAGGATCCCGGTCTCGCACCTGACCCTGACCGGGAGCCCTCGAAGAATTGGCGGAACTGGTTCCTGCCGGAGTACCGCCGGTCGTCCCTCGACCTCTCCCGGCTGCGAGGGTTTGCCTCTGCCTAAGAAACCCCAAATTAATGCGAGGGGCGTTGGACATCGCTTCCTCGAGAGCGTCTTCGGCGTCCAAAGATTGGAGAATTTGAAAGTCGGGCCACAAGTCGCCTCCCGAAGTCCCCACCTCGGCGTCCGAAGGAGCAACGTCCTCTCTGACCCCGACCTCCTCAGCAACTCCCTCTACCTCTCCCTCTGAAGCCCGATCCGGGTCTTCCTCCAAGTTCTGCTCGACCTCTAGCCTCGCCGCCTGATCAAAGAGCTCTGACCACTGCGAAGGCTCGAAAGGTTGAGGGAGCTGTGAGAACTTCTTGTACCCGGGGGTATAGTGCAGCAGATTATGAGCAGCTCGGCCAAATCCGTCGGCGCCCGTGAAACTCCAAACCGTTACTAGGTCGGCAAAGTTGACCAGCGACCGAGGAGGTGGAGCTGTTTCCCGAGAAGGAATATCTGCACAACAAAAAAGATTGTCATAAACATGAGAAGTCCCAAGAAACAAATAAAGAACCCGAAGGAACCGACGTACTTGTCGTTCTCCATTCCCGAGGGCAAAATAAGTCATTGTACTCGGGACCAACACCCCTCTCCCAACATCCCTTGAAGATTAAGATGTCGTCCTTGTACCCCTTGTCCGAATCAGGAAGATGGGTTACAAGGTACATGGAGGGGTCCCTGGCTTTGAGGTAGAAGTGTTGGTGAGGCATGACTCTTAGGAGGGAGTAACAGAAAAGGAGATCATTGAGCCCAATATTCACCCCGAGGCGCCTATTGAGCTCTAGGACCCCCATAATTATTCGAAAGACGTTGAGGCAGCATTGCCCGGGGAAGAGACGGAAGCGAGACAGGAACTGAAGAAGCAGGGGGGGTAAAGGAAACCTAATTCCACCCTCTATGATGGCCTTGGTATAGAAAGGCATGGCATCCGCGGCCCCGAAGGTAGGAGAGTTCAACAAAGGGTTAAAGCCCACTACGTCCACGCTCGGGGGGATGCCATACTTAACCCTGAACCTATCGATCTGCGCCTCGCCTGTCACCTTGTATTTCCCTGACCCCGAGGGACCAGCCGATGGATTCTCGGGAGCAGGGCGACGACGAGGCATCTCTAAAAGAAAGGGAAGGAAAAGGTGTTCTCTCTTGAAAACCTGAGGAAGTTCCCCGAGGGTTTAAATCAAGACGTACCGACCGGATGACACCACCGTTCAATCGGAAAACAAAAAGGCTAGGAGGACGATAAAGAAGAAGGTTGTGAAACTCACCCGAAAACGTCGAAAACGGAGTTTTTCAGGAAAAACTTTAAAATGACTCGCACCGGAAAGACCAGGAGTCAACAATGGGTTTACTGGCTGTGATTTTAAGAGAAAACGCTGTCGACGATGGCTGAGGAAACAAAAACTCCGGCGAGCAGATCAGAAAAGGCGTATTCTGGGTCAGAGATCGGAATGGCAAAACGATGGAAACCAGAGAAGAACCCCCTTTATATAGGGGGGAAACTGTCATCATTGGGCGGGAGAACCAAAACAGCGCATTTAATGCGCACGACGTCCCAAGCCGGGGAAAGCTGCTCGAGGCCATAATGAAGGACGGATGGCAGTTGGAAAACCCTTCGTCTCCTGACAACGCGTGTCCTCGGCGTCAGAAGATCGAAGGCTGGGGGGCAGTTGATGGGACTCTTCTGAAAAGCCCTATGATGAAGACACGTGTCCTCGGGGTTTCTAGAACAATGTTGCTCGGGTTCAAGCACCATCGGCAAAAAGCGTCCTCTCCCCCGAGGTACCTCTCATATAGGATCACATATTCGGTGCATTATACAACAACACGTGTCCTCGGTCACCGTGTAGCTCGGAAACATACCACCCTCGGTCCCCGAGGTGAGCCTTTCCTCGGTGCCGAGGGTCACTCCATCCTGGACGCTTCCTCTACTCCCGGATAAAGCTACTGACGTACGGGACATCAGCCTATGCCAGTCTAGACTATTCATCATAACCTCGTCTTAACACAAGTAATGTCAGAACACGCTGGAATACCGACGTCACAGCCAATAAGGGATGGACGCGTGGCAAATAATGTCACATCAGAAGCAGACAAACCGCATGCCGTCGCTGACACGCGACTTGGGAAAGCAAACAAATTAATTGCACCCTTCTGTTGACGAGACCGCATTCAATGCGGTAAGGTTCGGATATGAAAGGCAATAAATGCTCCTATTACAGAGCATTTATTGCATCCTTCCCGAAAGGAGCATATTGTACCGTCGGCGTCCCGACGGCTCAGCATTGATTGCTCGGGATCCCGAGTAATCAATTAGAGAAGACATTCCTCATCAAATCAATACACACGCTACCTGTGCCTGATGATCACCTACTGACCACACTGACAGCAATCATGAGCTTCTAAGGTATAAATACTCCTCCCAAAAGGCAAAGCCGGTATGCAATCACAAACTCACTACTGCAAAATATCCTTATCAGTGTTTTCTCCTTCCTCTCTCTCATTCAAAGACTGACTAGACCGTCGGAGGGGATACGCCGAAAAATATTCCGGCGCCCTTCTAACTTGTTCTCCTTTGTTCCAGGAAATACCTTTCACACATACAGGATCATTCTTCCTTTCCCAGGATCTTCCTTTGCCGTCCCAGGTTGCCACCGTACCATGTAGGCTGTTTCAAGCAGTGTGTTTGGCCACTCAACCGGCTCACTCAAAGTTCACCAGGGGAGAGAGCTGTTCCCAATATTTTTTATATTGTGCAGGATCTTGCACGCACATAGTGAATTCTTGACTTCGTCCCGGTGGATGATGGTTATTCAATTTTTAATTTGGTTTGGAACTCCTTGTTCTAAATTCGTTATAGTTTTTCTTATCGTTCTGTTCACTTAGAGTGACATGTAAATGATGTAAGGTTAGGCCAAAGAATCATGGGGGAAGACAAAAACAAGTATATTTGGTTATTTATAAAAGCAACTTTTAGTCTTTGTTTTAATAAGCAAGTATACTTGCTTTATGTGTAAGTGCAACTTTTTTTCTTTGTTTTAAAGCAATATCAATGATAGAGTGACTTCTAATATATCTTTTGTCTTGGCCTATAGTGCTAAACTAACTACACCTTTTATATTATATACCTACTATATATATATATTGGTTCAACGGTTCCAGACAAACTTTCATGCGTTTCGATTAATTCTCTCCTAGTCTGGTCAAAGACAGGTGAACTTCGTCAGAATTCGAACTCAAGATATTTGGGTTTACAACTTGTTCTTGTTATTACTTAAACTACCTCTTGAATGAATAATTTTCCAATATTAAAAATTAGAAGTTGGGGTGATTTTTATATAATGGTAACTACTTGAATTTGAAATATTATACTTAGAAAATATGGTAATTTTCATGTTACATCGCCAAGTGCTTCGGTCATTTGAGATGGCGTTTGGGTTTAGCATTGAACCCTATGTTAGTTGAACGTAGTTACTTTTCTCTTTCTCATCTTGCCTTTTGGGAAAAAAGACAGATGTTGGGATTACACTTCAGTACAGAAGTCATGATCTCACAAGGCCATCTTGTTGCATCAATTGTTAAACGTTGTCCATTCCATAGAAACCAATTAATAGATTGAGCATTTACACCATAATAATTTTTTTCCAATATTTAGAGTATTTGATAGATTTGGATTCCCTTATTTTCAATTTTTGACAAAATTTCTTAGCCCACTCTTCCCATAGTACCCCCAAAAACCACTTGAGATTGTCTGATTGCCCTTTTGCTTGTTTCAGCTAAAAATCGGTTGTTTTTATATGGTCAAGAAAGTAACTAAATACTTCTATTAACTGTAATAAATAAACTTAGTTTGTGCACGTTTTGATACTTTCATAACAAAATTAATCTCTCAACGTTACAAAATTAAATGGGACCTATTCCCATTTCCATTGCCATTACATATGTTTTATATTGTTCTTACCAAAAATGAAAAGTAGTTCGGAGAAGGAAAGGTCAAGAATATATCCTACACCGAAAAAATGAGATCTTTCTTCTTTATTTTCTCTCTCCTTGTGTTCACCTTCCATGGTGCAATTGCTCGTAACGTGAACTATTAGTTCTGTAAAACCTCCCTCTTAGCCGCTCCAACCAACCAACGCACGAGCGTTCAAAAACTCGGGATGTTTGCAATCACCCTCATTGAGAAAACCATGATGGAAGACATGACCTACATGAACAAACTCTTGAAGAAGAAGGGATTGAACAAAATCATCATGAACTCCATCACTGCATGCTCCGATCTCTATTCACAAACGCTCGATGATCTAGGTGACGCGATTTTGAACTATAAATTGAAGAATTTCCACGAGGTTAACCAAGATGTTAGCGCAGCAAGCACTACTGCTGCGAGGTGTGAAGATGGGTTTAGTGAGAGAGGAGTCATTTCGCCATTAACACAAAGAAATGATAAAATGGGTCAACTGTCTGCTATAGCATTGAACATTGTGAATTTGTATGCTCAAGTACAGTAATTTCATTCATGTATGAGAAATATATAAGAGGAGTCAATGGTCACAATGTCATGTTACAAATTGGAATATAAAGGGATGCAATGAATTGAAGGCCTACATGCATTACTGTACAGCATCATTTGAACTCAATTTATATGAGAATTGCAAATAAAATATACAACAACATGTTGAAGACAACCAGGTTTGCCAACAGATTTAAACCAATTCGAATTCAAATCCAAATCTGATTTAAAAACTCAACCCGAATTTGATTCAAATGTCCAAATATTGTATTGGTGATGCAATTCGTATAACTTGTTTAAAAAAACAAGTTGTATGGAATTAGATAAATTCTAATCAAGGGGTTTAACAAATTGCTCGGGTCAAATTCTTATGTAGAAGAAAAATAAAACATAAGTTTGACAAATTCCGCAGAGTATATTCGTAACATTTGACATAATTATCTTCATGACGTTACATAACCTATCAAACAAGCTGACGTTAAAATCTAAGTACAACGAAATATAAATTGATCGGTCATGTCAACCAATTCACAGCATTGAACATGTTAGCCTTAACAAAACCCGTTAACTCTTGGCTAGCTTCAAATAATGTCAAAAATTATCACCCTTGTGCCCCTCTCAAAGATCTTACATAAAATAGTGAAAACCTACGAGGTACGACGACACGGACACGGACACGAACACGGACACGAAATATCACAAAGTTTCAAAATGTAAGATATGGGGACAGTAAGGATATAGTTATTAAAATAATATAATATTTTTTAAATAATAATGAAGTTATAATATATTAAAAATAAAGAATATATTATATAATATTAATAATAAGATATAACAAATATTAATTTTTTCATTAATATTGAAATAGTTTAAAATAAATATACACCATTTTAATCAAATATCATTACATCTATTAACATTTATAGTATATAAGTTACATAACAAAAAATATATTAAAAAAATATAAGTCACATTTTTTAATAGTTAACAGTCATTTTTTAGGAAGAAAAAAAAATTTGGTCGTGTTCGACTGAGTTCATTATTCAGGATACTTCAAGCCGTGTCCAACACGTGTCGGCTCATGTCCGATGAATGTTCATGTCTGACATTACCACGGCACCCCTCTGGAAAGTAAGCATCTTAGGTGAAAATAATTGAATAACAAAATTGTGGAAGTGGTGAGAAAGAATATAAATTTCCCATAATTACACATCTTATATAAGACTCTGCATTGAGAATTTAGTTATGTGCTTGCGCAAATTCAAAAAGTTCAACTCGATTAACAATTTACACCCCCCCCCAACCCTAACCCCAAAAGAACACGAATCAAAATGTATTAAGTATTCAAGATAGAGCGTCAATAAGTTGATTCTAGTTAGTCTAGCTCAAACTATTGTACGCCGTTGTCTCCAAATAAGTACATTCAAATATACCAATAAACTTTTGGTCTAATGATATTCTTTATTTTGTGAATATTTTATTTTTTTGAGATTAAGGGTTCAACTTCTTCTCTCCCTTCCCTTCCCCCCCCCCCCCCAAAAAAAAAAAAAAAGTATATTCAAGTATATTCTGATATCCATCAACAATTGATTTGGTAAGCCATGAAATGATCACAATCAATGAGCTTCTGCTATACCAACCAACTAATAAATAGGTTATTTATGTAAAAAAACTGTTTCTTGGGTATTTACAAAGCAAATAAAAACTTCATAACTCTAATAAATATAATATCTGCAGTTTCAACACCTTTATGAACAATAATAACTATGTCAGCATTAAAAATGGAATGTTATATATAAGAAGAAATTTGTTCAACTTATGTACCAACCCATTCTTCCACATCAATAAGCTCTCTATTTAATAAACCAAGTACAAATTTTATACGTAGCAGGAAAATGAGGCCCTTCTTCTTCTTCCTCCTCCTCTCTCTCCTTTCGTTTACGTTCCATCGCGTAACTGCTAATATCATTTACGAGACTTGTAGATCAGTATCAAAAGACAATCCAAACGTGAGCTATAGTTTCTGCAAAACCTCCCTTCTAGCCATTCCAGCCGCCCAGTGCAGTAACCTCCAGAAACTCGGGTTAGCATTGATCAACCTCATTCAGAAAAGCGTAGTTGACACCATGAGTGACATCAGCAAGACGCTGAAGACGAAGAAGAAGAAGGAGGTTTGAACAAAGACGTGACGAAATACAGCACTTCATGTCTTTGATATTTTTACACAATCAATGGATGATCTGAAGGACACAGTCGAAAACTAAAAGCCTAAGAAGTTTTATGATGTTAATCAAGTTACTATTTCCATTGGTAGGGCTGCTTCAAGCTGTGAAGATGGGTTTAAAGATGGAGGTGTGGCTTCTCCACTGCAGAAGAGGGATGATAGTACTAGTCAGTTGGCTGTTATAGCACTGAAAATTATTGATTTGTATGCTAAATCAAACTAAATTTAGGTGATATACATGGGGGGATAATGGGAAGTTCATTGTATTACTTTGACCCTGAGGCACCAAAAGAAACAAGTCATTGCTTCTGGTTCGACCTCTAAACATGAAAGAAAATACAAAAATATAAAGTTGACTCACGATCAGCTAAAAATTTTGGGTTACAATAAATGCAATCATTATGGTTTACTTATTAAATTACACATTTTCCTTTTTGGTATTGACAAGCAAATATAGCATAAAATCAATCCCAAGGGGATGGCAGAGGATGCTGGTTGCTTGTTTGAACCAGAAAAGAGGTCGATTGCCTACGCATCCATGAAGTTTGGAATCAGAATCACATAGTTCTTCTTCTACCCCAGCATCCTAAATCTCGAGGTCTAAAATTATCAGAAAGAGAAGCCATCAACAGAGTCGTTACTCAAACCACAATGAAGGTTTCACACCTACGTTGTTTCCAACTTATGCAGAGTAAGGCAAATGGGTAGCAATATCATGAGAATACGATGTTCATTTCACCATTCCAATCACTAATGCAAATGAAAAAGCAATGTGACTGATCCCCAAGGCCAACAAATGTGATCATAGTCCATCTTTCCATTCAAATAGCAGCATAACAAAATAAAGAGTACAAAGTTCTACAATCTACTCTTAATCAGACAGACTTCACTTATTTTGCATCCCTCTGGTGGGATCGACTTTTTGCAATCACCAAACCATCCAAACAGAGACACAGCGAAAAAGAGTGTTCTAGAATTAAAACTCATGTCAAAGAAACTTCAACATATTAACCAGCCATTGGATGGTTAGAAATATACTCGACTGCAAGAGCACAGGAGTCGATCCTATCAGCTTCCTTGTCTGGAATCTCCAGCTTGAACTCCTCTTCTAGAGCCATCACAATTTCCACATTGTCCAAGCTGTCCAAGCCCAGATCTTTCTGAAAATGGACATCGGGAGTCACCTGCAAATCATTGCAGAATGAACAGTGATACCAACAATACTTGTGCTAAGGTATAATTGCTTGAGTAAAGGATTAGTAGAGCTGAGTTTAAATTTTAAATCAATAATAATGACAATAGGTGAAAAAGGGTCAGAGCTGTTTGTGGTTCAAAACCCCTCTCAAACCCTATTTCAGGCCCCATAAATAGAGGAGATGAAAAAATGCCCTTTCTGAAGCCTTTCACTGCAACCTTTAGTACATTATTTGCATATCTATCCTCTCTCTATCAGACCTCTTTCCTCTCTTCCTCGTCAAACCAGCAACACAACTCACTTCTCCTCCTCTGCACTCACATATGTATAACACTTCCTCCTTCAGTCACCCTCAACAACCCATAATAACAATATACTAACAGATAAATCATGCACAGCAGCACAAGATCAAAGTTTGTTATGTTTTTTTTTTTTTGCTGATGGCTGCTGAAATTTCTCAAAGAAGAATTAGACGGTAAATGCTACAGTTAATCCCACTTTGAGGAAGGAGGAGACCACAAATTTGTAGTTTGAAACAACACTTCTAGCCTCAGGAAGCTGCATTGTACAAGCTACAGTGTATTAAAACAAACAAAAAGCAAACCACAGCTGATGTCAATTCAACCATATGGTAGTTAAATTTTGAAAAAATAATATGAACATCTAGCTTAATCCATTGCTTCAATGTTCAATGGCATAAAATACAAATCAATGTTGGGTGAGGAGAAGAACACTTCATAAGCAATAAAAATATCATGCTAAGCTTCAATTGTTCCATGTACAGTTAAATTTGGTCTGTAGATGACGTGTATCTCAAAACATAACACAATATTTAACGAATGTATTCGCAAGATTTTTTCACGCTTTAGGTGAGCCAGACAATCACCTTCTTATGATTAAAGGATCATGACTTAAATGATTTCAATGGTGTAAACAAGTTGTTTGGATGGCGAAATTCCTGACCAAATGAATTTAGTACTTACACGGGATAATTTTCCTAACAGCTTCCATTCTAAAGGACCACTATGATAAGATGATCAAACTAAACAACCAATAGCTATTCTATAAAATGGTTAATTGAATTTTAATACAAGTGATGGTGGTAGAAGGAATCAAAACTTCTTTTTGCCTACCTAGGGGAACATCTGTTGACTTATCAGCTGAAAGTCTTTAAAATTCTATAGTGTAGTCCTCGACTCTTCTCACAAGACTCATGTAGTCCACCCCTAATAGACTGGCTTATTTGGAAGCGATAAGCATATTGATTGATTGTTCGATAGAGTCGTACCTATCAAAAGGAAAAAGCTATATATATTTGTCGGGCAGAGAAGACAAGGCTATTGTAGCAGCTATGGAAATTCCTCTTGCCACAGAAGCCCAGTTGCCCAAGCGATGTATCCTATCCTCTATCCTAAGCATGATGGACAAGTAACCGTTCAACCTCAAGTGAAAGCTCAACAAATCCGAGAAGTAGGGCGAAGGGCTTTCTAATCTTTAACTGAAAGTAAGGCTTCAATAGTGATATCCTAGAAGCGGTAGCTTAGGGCTTCCCTTTAAAAACACCTTGGAGAGTAGGGGCGAGAGAAATTAAACCATACAATATCATACCAATGCAAATATCAAGGATGATACTTCATCCACGTTTCATCAATCTTTCAAACATGCAATATGCATTGTTATTGTAGAAAGAATTCAATCAATTTCAACTTCATTAAAGTCTGATGGACGTACACCTTTCACCAGTACTTGATGGTGATGGATACAAGGTTGTCCTAATCAAAGATAGTAAGGAGTAGCATAAAAAACATTCATTATATGAACACCTCTCAGCGAGCATCGATAAGTTGTCGCAAGCAATCAATCAAAGTGATTCCCTATTTATCATATCCTTGTCTACAGCTATGCTATCTGTATCACTGTTGCTAAGGTAAAGGTCGATCGCATCCTGATCCTGCCCATTCCTTTAGTTCGCTCTCAATGGAAATTTCTCAGTATAGTAAGACAAAGCCAATGAAAGCTTTCTTTTAAGTGCTAAGGTATGTACAGTCCAGAATCCGCCTCTTAGCCTACCGGCTTTCAAAAAGCACTTTTAGGTTGAGGTTTTGGATCAACTATCTTACTTTTTTTAAGACAAAAGTCTTCTTTATATACACAATTATCAGTTGAACTGCATTAACAGGACAACTGGATTGGCTGTTTTGACTTTGTGTCAAAACGGTTGGAAGATTACTATTCAACTACTATCATTCTAAGCCAATACAAAAGCTCTCAAGTACATAATTCTAAAATACACAAGCTCTAAAAAAGGTCATAACAGCAATAATAACTGCCAAAAAGTCTATATACTCTTAGGAGCACAGAGTTGGAGGTTTAAAATTGGAATTGGATAAAGTTGTCTTCTTCTTTGATAAGCGGAATTTGTTAACATCTAGTTCAAAGATTGAACTACTTTTTCTTCAAAAACAATTCCAGGGCCTTCCAATTCCATTTTACTAAACATAGTACAAAGGTAGTTGATTCTTCTGAACAACAAGAATCCGAAATACCTAGATCTTAAACAAATTAAAAAAAAACTTCATTACGAGGGAAAGTGCATCCAATTGATCAAAAATTGACTATTTTCATTAATACGCCAAGAGTAACAAAATCATCCACCATTCAAATTTTCAGTGGTAGCAGACAGATTGCAGCACAGACTAAAATCAAGAACAAGACTCTTACAATCAAATAAGAAACTAAAATAACTAAAGTGTCAATCAAGGGGCATAAATTGCAATATAAATTCAAGGGCTGTAGCGGAAAACTCGGTAAAATCAAACACTACGACTTCAACATGTGCACGTAAGGCTAAGATAGGTCAACATCCACAATCAAATTGATAAAAACACAGAAAATACAGCAATTAAGTATCACCCTTTGTTTGGTTGCACGGAAAATAAAAGAAAGTTGTGGATCTTAAATTTTCTGACGAACCAAACTGAGGTGAATCAAGCTTAATTAGGGAATGAGGGGAGGAACTCCAAATACCTTGGAAGGGTCTACTTTGGGGAAGCTCTTGACAACGTCGAGGACTCTATCGATGACTTCTTTTTTGTCTAGGTGATCGTCACCGTGAGATGACATTGATCGGACGGTGCTGCATAAGCGCAGCTTCGATCCGTTTAGGGTTAGGATTTGAGACACTGGAACCCGAATGTGGCGTAGCATTGCTGTTCTCAGTGCAGAGGCCATCTCTCTCTCTCGCCGCTCTCCTTCTCTCTACCTGGGAGTCGTAGTTTCGTCGGACCGAGGAGGACACATTTGGTACTTGATGAATTGATTCTTGGTAGAATTACACTTTGTACCCCCGAAAGATTTTAGATTCTCAAAGATTATTATACTTTTAATGTATTTTCGTATCTTTTGCACATGATACATTGTTAGTACATAAAAATTAATAAAACATATTAAATATATGTGTGTTTGAATTAAATATGATCTTAAATTTATCAAATTTAATTTTTCATTACTCATATTATATTATAAGATTATAAAAACTTTGTATGTTCACAAATTTTTTTGTTCTAACTATAAAAAAATAGTTAAAGTTCTATTATTTTTTAGAATTTTGTGTTTGAGATTGATTTTTAGTGATATTTCAGAAATTAAATTTTTTTGAAAATTATTTAATTAGAATTTCACTTATAATTCTTTAAATAAAATGGAGTGTATATATAATGAGTTGTGTGTATATGTATGTAATGAGTGTGTGTATAGTTGGAGTGTGTATATAATAAGTATGTGTATGTATATGCAATGCCTGTGTGTTGGAGTTGGAGTGTGTGTTGTGGAGTGTGTGTTGAGTTTGTGAATTTTGGGAGGGAAAGGGTATGAAATTTGGAGAGAAAATATACCCCCACGAGTTCAAAAACCTAATTATCTTATTATATAGACATACTATAAATTATTTATATCTGAAGACATTATATAACTTTTTTTTTTAAAAAAAAAAGCATTAGTCTAAGTCTCATCCAGCTTGGTGTATATTA